ATTTAACCATAATGGTACCTTTTCCAACGTGGTAAAAATGCATCATTAATGATACATTACCTTGTCAACCATGAATGATCATTTACGATTCACATTTTAATCTCAAAACCATCATCACAAGGTACCATAACAAGTCACATTTCACATTTCGAACAAATAACGATAGTTTACGAAAAGCATTTAAACATTACACAACTTCCATAATTATATGCAAACAAGCCACAAACATCCCATTTCACATTTTAAGCACAAGCATCACACCAAGATCATTATAGAACCATCAATTACACAATCAAACACCAAATTGCACCAAAAGCCCCAATTTGGGCCAATTGGGCCGAAATATCAACTAAAGTAAACTAGGTGAAATTTCAATTTTAATGAAAATGTTTGAGCTAGAACATCTTAATATGCCTTGATAATACATAATCAAGTAATTAAACATCAAAAAATCAAAAGTATAAAAAAAATCCCCAAATTAATTATTATGGTCGAATGGTTTCTCTCTCTTAAGCCTAGGAATTTTTTATTTTTCTTAGCTAATTTCAAGCCCAATTAATATATTTTAACTTAAATTATATGAATTTATAATTCAAAATTATTTCCCCTAAATTTTTCTAACTAAGAACCCTAACCCTAATTTTAAAAATTAATCCAATTAAACATCAATTAAAGGTTCTAAAATCACAATTACCATTCAATAACATTTTCTTGTGATGTAGGTGAGATTAACTTACCTCTAAAGCTCCAACTAAACCCTTGGAAGATTGGTTCTCTTTGAGAATTTCCTTCCTCCTTTTCTTCCGTTAAATTCGGCCAAGATGCCAATTTTTTCCTCTAGAATTTTTTGCTCCTCCACCTAAAATTCTAAGCTTGTTGAAGTGTTTTAGAGTGATTTAAGGTATTTAGGTAGGAATTTGGATGGAATTCTATGGAAATTTTACAAGAACTTCGCTTAGATTTTTCAATTTTTTCATTTGTTATTCACCAATATTTATAGGTAAGCTTGGGTGGACTTTCTCTATGCTTGACTTTATCTCCACCCTTAATTTGCTTTAATCCTAGCCATTGATTTTACTTTTAATCTAAGCCCTTCATTGTTTTAATCTTGGCCTTTCATTTTTCTTCTAATTTTAACCATCCATTTAGCCTAATCATGACCATCCCTTTTGTCATAGTCAAATTTCATTAATTAACCCTTAATCATGGTGGCTAAGTCGGAAAAAATAGGGAGAAAAATCTCTCCCAAACTTGGTTAATTTTAGTCCCTCATTTTAATAAACTTTCCTATAATTACTCCTCCACAAGTCTAATTATTCAATTGATTCCTTTAGGCCCTTCCTTTAAGGTTCTCCTAACAACTTTTTTTAATTCCTAAAGTTCATTCTTAATTTAATTTGAAAGTTTAAATTTTTAATTTTATGCAATTGAGTCCTAATTTTATACAATTAGGTCCCTACTTCTACAAAATTTATTCCACACCTTTTCAAAAATTAATTTCTTTTCATAATTAATTTAAACACTTCCTATAAGAATTTATTCATCACTCACATAATTTTTATACATTTATGTAAGCCCTCAAATTAATTACTTTATGTAAAAATACACTTATTTCTATAGAAAATATTCCCTATGCATAGAAAAATTCACCTAAGTTCATAAAATATTCCTACACCTCCTTAATGATTTTTCTATACCCACTGGATAATCCTCAAACACATTCAATATACTTAAAATAATTAATTTGCCTAAAAAGTATTATTCATACACCGAAAAGTTCAAATAAAATAATCATTGAACATAAAAAAATTCATCCAATGGCACTAACTAATCTAGCACCCCTCTAGGAAATATTCTAAGCAAACAAAACATTTTTCATGCACATTTAAAATACTCAACATTTATTTTGCATAAAAAGTTACTAATCGAGCACTAAAAATTAGATAAAATACCCACTCGGTGCTAGAAAATTATCCTAAGTGCACTCGAATATTCTATCATCCTCTCTACAATTATTTCATACCCTTGAAATAGTTTTTCTCACACCTTTAATATATTTTTAATTCATTTAATAACGAGTTCGAGGTATTACGGATTTAATGGCTTTCAAGTTAAATCGACCAAAAGAAACCTTAGACTTGTTAGAGCTTTGCTTTGGCCTTTATATGACTTAATTTGACCAGTAAAATAAGGAAGAAAAAAGGGTATAGGCCATGGGTCGGTTTCGTCTTCTTCGATCAAATTCATCAATTTTTGATGTCTTCTTCCACAATTTAAGGCTTAGGGAGGTTTACGAAGGTTGGAGGAAGAGTTATCTAGTGGTGTTGCCTTTGATTTGACCAAAAAATAGAGATAAAATTGGGTATGGTTGGTGGTCGGATGGAGCGGATTCCATTTCGGATCCTAGTCTCCTTCATCATTTTTGGCCATAGAGACTAGTTGGGGAAGGTGGACCTAAGGTTGGGCTATAATATGTTGGTGGTTATTATGGGTGATTGATGTAGAAGAGTGGCGATTTTAGGGAAGAAACGATGGCGGATCTACGGGTTGACTTGCGGATCGGCAAGTTTGGTTGTGATTTAAAGAGTCTGTTTGGTTCTCTTTTTTCTTAGGTATACAACTTCTCTAGATTTTTCTCTAACTTGTGGTTGCGTGAATGCAAATAATTTTTTAAGATAAATGTTGAATAGTAATCTTTCGACATTTTGATTAAGTTTGTTATATATATTATTGTATGGTTAAGGGTTATAGATAGTTGTGGTTAGATTGTTTTTTGGTAGAAAGATGGATAATGAAGGCTAGAGTTTTTGAGTAAAAAAGATGAGTGTTGGTGGCTAGGATTTTTGGATAGGAGATGAATAGTAGAGGCTTCCTAAAAATGAGAAGAAAGTGTGTTTCTATAGGATTTTTTAGGATTTGGGATAAAATCAACCTTAGTTTTTCCTTGGTTTGTTTATGTCAATTTCAATGTATATTTCATTATTTTTGTCCAATTAGTTCCTTAATTGAAAATTTTTAATCTTAATTTCTTTCAATTTCACATTAATTAATTCTTAATTAAGTCCCTAATTGTTTATTCCTTTTCGATTATATCTCTAATTGAATGCACTTAGTCCTCACTTTTCACATCATATTTAATTGGATCCCAAATCATCTTTTCAATTTTTTTCTTTTTTTCAAATTAAAAATAAGGATAATCCTAAGAAATTAAAATCCTAAAAAATTATAAAAATGCCTAGAAATCATGAAAATATAACTATGCAACATGCTAATTTTTTTTTAAAAAAATCTTCTTCTTCTTCTTTTTTCAAATTTTGTATGAAAATGAAGGAGGGTCAAAAATGAGTTATGACATTCTTGATATAAGCAATTTTTTTTTAAAAAATAAAATTTTAAATTATTTTTTATTACATTCTATTTACTTTAATATATTCTTTACAATTTAAGTTTTTTTTTAAAACATAATTTTTAATGTATACTCGTACACTTTGACCCACCGAGTATGTTCATGACATATATAAAAAAAGTATTGAGATAATTGATTTTATTAAAAATTAACTATGCATATACACATATGACACTAACTATTTCCTATTAATTATTTTTAATATTCTAAATTTATTTTATTTTAAATAAAATGATGTTTTAAAAGAATTACCTTATAATTCAAATACATCTTGTTATTCTAATGTTATTGATTGTTTTATGTGTGTGCGCGCGCGTGTACATATTCAAAAAGTTTAAAAAGATTTGTTAGTTATTTTTTATATTAATTGTTGTTTTATTTTTTCAATATAGTCTTATGAAAAAAATATTAAGATGCTTTTAAAATTTTATATTTATATTATTGCGAGGTTTTTATTTAAGAATAAATGCATAACAACAAATGAATCGTATTTTTTTTAACAAAATCTATAAAACACAAAAAAAAAAAAAGAATGGAATACAAAATTTGATTAAAAAATATGAAATTAAATAAACTTTTATCTTTTATTTTTAATTTAATATATATTATTAGATATATATCATAATACGGACTATTAAACTGAAATAAATATGTTTAGTTCGATCTGTTGTGTAGCATGAGAAACCAAGTAGTTGGGTACTAAAATATTAAGATCAAATGATTTTTTTCATAAAAAGGAAATAATTAAACAAAATCTATGAAAAACATAAAAAAAAAGAAGAAGAAGAAGAAGAAGAAAAATGAAATACAAAATTTGATCAAAAATTATAAAATTAAATAAACTTTTACTTTTTATCTTCAATTTAATATATATTAATAAATCCATATTATAATATATACTATTAAGTTGAAATAAATATGTTTAGTTCGATCTGTTACATAATACAAGAAACCAACTAATTAAGGACTAAAATATTAAGATCAAATGATTTTTTTTTCATAAAAAGGGAAACAATCAAACAAAAACAGATTAACAAGGACTCATTAATTTTTTGCTAGTTCTATCAATTATTAGCTCGATCTATGCAGTTTTTTTTTTCCTAGTCTCAAACAGGTGGAACGTGCAGGAACACCGAAAAAAAAAATTTGCATAAACTTTTCAAGATCAAGTGCTAACGCTTATTGTATGAAACAAGTGAGTTTTTCAATCGACCTTGGGTCAAGGTCATCATGATCGTAGTGTAGGCAATCCATGTAACCAGCCCTTCTACACGTAATTGTTGTTCTAATTGATCTTTTAGCCACACATGGTATGTCCCAGATACATGGAATGATACGGGAAAGTGCATGCAACGTGATTTGTCTACCATATGATAAAATGTACACAAAGCTTAATTAGCTGACAGGAGGAATCCACAAAATTAGCCTGCCAGCCAGCATTCAACTAAAATCTAATAAACGGTCACGCCATTTACTAGTATGTGACAACCCACAAAATTCCAACATGCATTGATCTATAACATTAAAGTAAACCGTTACTTGTGCATCTTCAATGATCACACGAGAGGTGCTCAAATCCTGCTTCTGTAACAAACTAAGCCTGGAGCAATTCTTTTGCCTTGTCCAACCAAACATTGTAAATTTCATCCGAGAACAGAACAAAGTGCACCTACGAACAGCAGTTTCAAGCAGCATCAACAAGATTTCAAGGCTACAATAATTGATCCATATATTATTGGTACACTTATGTTATCAGAGCATGTAAAAGTCTAGGGGAACAGATGACAATTTAGTCTGGTATAGTTTTTTGCTTGATACTTGCAAGCTACTGCATCCAATGCACTAGAATTGATGGACATGGTTGTTTTCGTTAGGATATGGAGGTGCTAAAATGTGGAATTGATAAGTTCAGTTATAAACACAACAAAATCCATAAAGCTTATATGTTCTTTATTTGGAGTGATAGATATGAACAAATGAACCCACCTCAAATGTTTTTGTTTTAGAATATCACGTCTAGAATGTGGAAGTGATTCTACGCATAAAATGCACGTGAGGAACCAACAACACAAGTGGCAGAACTCTACAGAGATCTAATGACAATCTATAGTTCTGTTCCATCCAAGGATCCTATATAGTGTTTATTTCAGATCATAACACTACCAATTTGCTCAGGGAAATTCTGGAATGGTCAGATAACAACGTAGAATGCCAGAACCACTTTATGAGTTGAGTTGATTTTGGACCCATATCACAATGTTTGATAAGAATAACATAATACCTCTTTCAAGTCATTGGCAAATTCTTTAACTGTTGATATAGCCACTGTGGCAGCTTCCTCATAAGGATAACTGAAAGAAATTAAAATAAAGAAAAGAAAAATTGTGAGAGATTGCTGATATTGTCACACAAGGCTTCACAAACACCAAACAAAGAAAATTTCAGAATTTGGTATTCAATCTAGTACTCAAAAGCTTGAGATTGGGTCCTTAATGAAGGCCATTGTCACAAAACAAGCAATCAACATGTAAATGCATTTCCCAATCGAATCATCCTAAATACAGTATAAAAATCATCAGCTAAAACCATCAAAAAGCCAGGTTATCAATCTATTTACAAGATAATTGTACAATTGCAATCAGGTCTTAAGTTTTTTTCCCTTGTCCATGCAAATTTAGGTAAATGAAAAGCAGGGCAGTAAAAAGCCCGGTTTGGTTCCCTTCGGTCAACAGCTACTTACCGATAAACACCACAAGATATGGCAGGAAATGCAATGTACTTGATGTTGTTGTCTTTAGCCAAGGTCAAGCTGTTCCTGTAACCATTGTAAGAAAACAAGAGACATTATTTAGAATGAAATATCAACTACTCACGAGAAACGATGCTATCAACGTTATGATATACCTGTATGCATTCCTAAGTGGGGCTTCAGGGTTACTATAAGCATCATAGATGGGGCCAACGGTGTGAATTACATGAGATGCAGGCAGATTGAAACCTCTGCATACATTATTCAACATGTTATTACTATAATGATAAATATGTTCAAAGGTGGAATAATTAGCTCCATTATAATAAGAAATATTCAAGCAAGAACAGTATACGGAGTAATTCTTGCTTCTCCAGCAGGGCAGCGAATTCCAGGTCGGACTTCAGGGACAGCATAGCATGCATCTCGTAGTTGTGGTCCAGCAGCTCTATGAATGGCTGACAGAATGCCATAGAATTCCAAATTGTTACAGGCTTTGTCAATAATTTTTTGAGTAAATTGAAAAGGAAAAAAGATTTAAACAAGAATACCTCCATCTGCACCTCCACCTCCAAGCATTTTTTCATTTGCTGGATTTACCTGCAGAAGATAATAATTGAATTAATATAAATGCAAGCAATCAAAATACAAGAAAACAGAGAAAGAGAGAGAGAGAGTTTATACTATAAATAAGAACTTGTCCTATGCACCTAAGTAAATGGATTCCACATTATGCGACGTTAACAAACCTACGAAAGAAAAATTAAATCCATCACCGAACTGACGCAGGTCTAGGAATCTATGGTAAGCTAGTGAAAGTAGCTCTCAGCTGGTACGTGATGGTTCCAAATTGGCCTCGGACTGTTACTATTCAGGGAGTACAAAATATAACAAAAAAGAATCAAATCGAAAATTGACTTCCAAGAAATGCTTATCAATAGGTGTACTTACATTAATTGATTTCAATAAAGGGCAGATTTCAATTTATTTGATCATAGCTTAATCATAAAATTTTAGGGAACCCCATTTGCATACATAAAACAGTCATGAATTTGATAGCATCAAACTACATAGATAGCAAGACTCGTAGCATCAAGCTAAAACCAATCAAGAACAGAACAAAACCCAGGAATTAAAAATGGGAAAAGAGAGAGAGATGGGGTACAGCTTACAATAGCATCAGAGGAGCCATCAACAGACCACTTAGTGATGTCTCCTTTGTTAATTTTGAGAAGAGACGAAGGATACAAGGCAAAAACATTAGCGTCCCCTCCATTATCAGACGGCACGGTAGAAACCCCAGAAGCAGAAGCAGAAGGAAAAACACCACCATTACCACCACCTAAGATGTCCATAATGATAAGTGATGATGATAAGGGAGGTTTGAAGAGGAAATGCTTGCTGCTGTTGTTATTAGCGTAACAAAGAGCGCAGCGGGTCGTGTTAGTGGCGATGTTGGTAGTATGAGAGTTGTTAATGTTAGATCCGAGGAATGGTGCTGCTGTTGCTGCTAATAGCCTTCCTCTTGGTCCTACTACAGGAGGTCTGGCCCAATACATTTCGCTGCTTTTTGGTGTCAAGACTTATTTGGACACCATCCTTATCCTCCGGAGGCTTCTAAAGACTAATGTTCATGGGTGTGGACAAAACAGGTACCTCATCGGCTCCTATTCTCCGTACGAGGATGTTGGTATGCTGGCCTTTCTTCATTCGCAACGCGTCAAATACGCACTTCACTTGGCTAACCCTTCGTGAAATTTCAACTAATGAATTGATTAATTGGTGAATTTATGCAATCTGAGGCAATGGGTGCATGTATAAAATTATTATGCTCCCCGTTATAGTGATTTTTTTTTTTTTTTTTACTTTTCATATAGTTTAAAAAATTTATTAATTATAATATTACATTAGTATTTTTTTAACAATATTTTTTATTTAAAAAGAAAATCTATCCAAATTAATTCTATATTGTAAAATAGAGATATTTTTTAAAAAATATAATATTAAAAATTTTGACCAAGATATATCTTATTAAAAAATAGATAATATTTTGAATATAGAAATTGTAAGTATTTGCCTTTTTTAATTGTATAACAGACTAGTAATTGGGTCTGCGTGATGCTACTAGATCGCTAGCATAACAAGTTCTCTGAGTAACTCTTATTGTAAAATGCAAATGTATTAAAAATTAATTTCCACCAACGTTGAATTTTTTTTAATAATTAATGGGTAAAAAATTAGGTGAATGTTTTTTAATTAACTAAAAATTAATTTAAATTCTCATTATTTAATGCTATTTTTTTCTTCTTCTGAACTATTGGAGTTATGGTACCTGCACTATCAATTAGATAAATTTTATCCTTGAACTATCATATTTTAGATAAATAGTATCTCTCTGTTTGATTTTATTGTTATCGTTGATAAAAAAATCCTTTAAAAAATTAATTTTTAATATTTTGATATGGATTTTTTTACATATGCTAGTAAAAATTTAATCTACATTAAAAAATGAATTTTCAATTTTTTTAGGTGAAGTAGTTTTTAATTTTTTTAAGAAATTAAATATTAAAAAATTGAAAACAATAGAAAATTATTTAGAGTTATCCCAAAATTTAATGGGGACCTTAAAAATATATAAACTTATCTCTAAAAGTATTCTAAAAATACATATATAACTTGAATTTAGATCACTTTTAAATCAGTCAACAATCACAAAGTATTCCAAGTTCTAATCTTTTTAATTATACCCCTTATTCAAGACATTTTAAATAAATAAGCATCCAAATATTCCATCTTAATTATATAAATTTAAGTGGCTGATTAGGAATGAAAATGGAGTGGGAAGTTAAAGTTTGTGTGGCTAGTTAGGGACTAAAGTGGAGTGAAGAGAACAAATTTGATTGGCTAATCAAGGACTAAAATGGAGTGGCAAAGACAAATTTGAGTGACTAGTTAAAGACCAAAGTAGAGTGGAAAAGACAAATTTGAGTGACTGGTCAAGAACCAAAATAGAATGGTAAGTTCAAATTTGAGTAGCTAGTTAGGGACTAAAGTAGAGTGGCAAAGACAAATTTGAGTGGCTAGTGAGAGACCAAAGCGAAAAGGCAAGTCCAAATTTGAGAGGCTAGTTAAAGACTAAAATAAAATGACAAGTCTAAATTTGAGTGGTAGGTCAGGGACCGAAGGGGAATCTCTAGCCAAAACAAAGAAGAATTAAAATAAATAAATAAATATATATATATTTTGAAAAAAAAAAGGAAGAACAATGAGAATTAGTGCATTGCTAGTTGCTACTGGCACATGTTGTAGCTAGTAACATGCCGCCAATAACAAATTAATGCTGTCATGTGTGTTAATAACCAACAGCAAGTTGCTGATAGCGTGTGCACATACTCATAGCAAGTTGTTGGTGGTGGTTTGTGCACCCAGCATGAATCATTTTTTGTTAGTTTAAAAAAATTGGTGAAGTTAATTATACAAAGCTTAACTCATATTCCTTGTTAAATCCATATTGATGTTTTTAGAATTTTTTGAAGTAGAGATTTGATTTGTTAATTTTTCTCTCTGTTAGCACCCAAAATTTTTCCAAAAAAATAAAAAAGAAAAAGAATTGAAAAAATATAATTGAGGGATGCAATTAAAAAAAAGAAGAGAAAAGGATCGAAATAAAATAAGCTAGCAAGTAGAGGGGCTAAACCAAATTTTAGCCAAAAAGACCCTAAAAAAAAGCGTAGTACAAAAAACCCCCATTTTCTCTAAAAATTCGAGCCACTTTTCTCCCTAAAATCAACAGCAACCTTCTCTCACTAAACTAGAATCCGATCAGCTCTTTCTCTCCTTAAAATTTTTGGTCAGCTCTCATCCACTCCTCCAACCGTTGATCATGCCAACCATAGCCACATCATCCTCTTCTAGATGACTAGCAGGACCTTTACCCGAAGCTGTTGCTCGTCCCAGATCAGACACCATTTCCAACCATCGATCCAATAGCTGCCCAACTTGATCTCCTCTACTGTCAGAAGCTAATGCTAACAATAGCTCATAACAATTCGACCAGTCTCCTGCTCCATATCGACTGCTACAGCTCTTCTGATAACTAATTAGCAGCTCCAAAATCGATCAGTAGCAACCAAAACTCTAGTCAAACCAATCCAACTCCAAAATTGATCAGCAACCACCTCTAGCCGATCCAACCCCTCCGATAGCCAAGCGATCTAGATTTAACAATGGATAGCCATCTCTTCTCCTCGGTTGACCTAATATCGGTCTCTATCGGGGTTGAAAAGGTTGGAACTAAACCCAATTCGATAGTCAAATTCGTTCTATATTTTTATAGTAATTTATTTTATTTTATATGTATATGCCTATAAATTAATTAATTCATTTTGATGTTTTTGTAAGTTAATAAATTATCATTGTGTGTGTAAATTAATTAAATTGCTCCTTATGTATGATTTGATTAAACCATTTTGTTGCGTACGATTTAATTAAACTGTTATTGTGTTTTTGTTGGTTTTGTTTATGCTTATACTTGTTGATGTTATAGAATATTTATTGTTGTTTGTGTAATTTTTTAAGATGTGTTGGTCCAAATTTTGATTTTAGACCACTTTTGATCAATCATGACAATTAATTGAATTATGCTAATTTGTCTTAAAATATTTAATTTTTTGCTTCAAGTCGGTTCAAACCATGTTTTTGGCCCATTTTTGTTGACAAGCAATGTTAAATTGCTAACGTGCTAATTTCATCTCAAAAATATTATTTCGGATCATGCCAGTTTGAACCTCGTTGCTTGGGTCATTTTTGTCAAATATCGATTAATTTTCACATTGTTGCCAATTCATGAAAAAAATGTGATTCTTGAGTAATGTCGGTTTGAATTTTGTTTTAAGGTTATTTTCGCTCATTGCAATGGTTACTTAATATTGTGATAATTTGTCTTAAGAAAAATATGATTTCTAAGCCACGCGGATCCGAGCCTTATTTCAAATTGTTGTCACATATTGTGAGAATTAATTTATTGTTGCATCGATTTTGCTTAAATATCATGATATTCAAGGTTGTGTCGATCCGAATCTTGTTTTTGGTTCGTTTTTATCAATTTCAATGATTTTGCATATTTTGTCTAAAAATCACAATTTTTGAAGTCTTGTCAATCTTAATCTTGTTTTCGGATCATTTTCGTCAACTTCAATGATTTTTATCAATTTTTTTATTTTTGTAAAATTTTCAATTTTATCATTTTTACTATTTTTTATAGCCTTTGCCAAGTTGTCTTTTTTTTTTTTTTTTTGCCTATTTATCAATTTTTTCTAATTGCCTATTTGTCAGTTTTTTGGTTTGTTGATTTGGCCTATCCGGCCTAATTGCCTATCTCGCTTATTTGTTGATTTTGTGGATTTGTCAATTTTGTCTATTTTGTTCGATTTTCTATCCGTCCATTTGTTTATTTCCCTAATTGCCTATCTATTTATTTGTCGATTTTTGCCTAACTCGCCTATTTGTCAATTTTCTTATTTTACCAATTTATCTATTTTATCTCTTGGCGTATTTTGCTTATTTTTAAAATTTTTTTCACGTATGCTATTTAAGTCACATTAGCAACATATCTTTGCATGCATCATGTCTTTTCGTTTTTTCTTAGCTATTCATTACAGAGTGAGGACAAGGTCTTTAATTGATCAAATCTCAAATCACTCTATCGCTGCCCGACGTCGAAGGGACTCGTTAAAAAAATAAATTTCTTAATCTACGGGGTTAAATGTTATTTATATAATTTATTTACAAGTTTGGAGTCGCCACCTAGTACTAAGGAACTTGGAATCTAAAAGTAGCACTAGTTTAGAGATTCTCCGGCAAGGAGTTAGTTACGCTTTGGGAAGATATCGATCACGCAAATATGCCCTTTCCTAGAAAAGGTACCATGTCTAGTTTAGTCCTAAATTCATCTCCTATAAGGTTTTATTTATGTCAAATTAATTTTTAATTTTTAAACTTTAGTTTTTTAAAGCCAAATTAATTTTTTGGTTTTGGGTGTGGCATCGTATTGAAACGATCGTCGGTTCCCTTTGTCGGACGATACGTTAATTCAAACATTAGATCCACTTTAAACCTTGACACAACCGATGTGTGCGAGAACATCTTGATTATGAGATTTTTTTGTAACATCGGTCCCTATCATATAGAAGACTTCATCAAGAATTTTTATTCTATTTTTTTTTATTCAAACGTTAATTCCTATTAGATAGGAGATTTTTTTTAGATTTTTTGTTTTATTTTTTATTTTTTGGCTAAAAAACGAGTCCCTATTAGATAGGAGACCTCATTGAGAATTTTTATTTTTTATTTTCTTGTTGATAAAAAATTTATCATCGATCTTTAAAAAATTTAGGAGACTCAATAATTCTTTTATCAAATAATTATCTAACCTAAAAAAACTAACGTAAATTATAACATTTCAAGGTTAAATAAAATCAAAGTAAAAAAGGAACAACATCTAAAAATTAAATCTAAACTAATTAAAAAAATAAAAAATAAATAAAAGGGAAACCAACATAATTAGACTTAAATAAAAATAGAATTCAAATAATGAAAATACCTTTTCTCTTATTCCCCGCTTCTATTTCTTCATTTTTTTTATTTTTGCTTTTATCTATTTATTTAGGAAGGAGGCTAGACTAGTTCCAACCTTCTTATTTTTTACTTATTTATGTAGGCAGAGGGGTCTAGGTTGGATCGAACTTAGTCCAACCCCCCTTTTTTGTTTATAGGATGAACGGGCCGGGATGAATTGATTTTTTTTTAGACTAGGCGTAAGCCCAAAAATAGATCAAAAAGCAAAAAACTTTAAGAAAATAGATCAAACAACCTTCAAACCCTTTCTCTCCCCCTCCTATTCTTCGTTGTTCTTCAATTTCTCTCTAGTTCTTCAAATTTTCCTAAACAAACGACTTAATTACACAAACTACCAATTCATGGCATGAACAAGATAAAAAGAAAATAATTAAAACTAAAGCAATAATGAAATCGAATGGGAAGATCAAACTCGAGAGCCGATTTAGAAAATACGATTAAAGAACACCAAACAAACCCAAAAACAATAAAGAACTAACGAACCTAAAAAGGAAGATTTCTTTTTATTATACCCAAACAACGATAATCTTCCTCAAAATAATCCAGAAAAACCCAAAACAAGGTACCGAAAAGGCTAGCAGTTGAAGAACAAAAAACCCGTAAACTAAGAACATAAAATCCGAAACCTAAAAAAACCCAAAAAATGCAACTGCTAAAGATAAAAAATCAACTCTTTTTGCTTTTGATTTCACTCTCTCTCAACCCGAATTCCTCTCCCTCTTTTCTTGTGAATTCGGACTCTTTTTTATGGTCATAGTTTTCCTTGAATTTCTCCTAGAATCAACCATTAATCTCAATTTTTTTTATCAAATCTCAAATTTTAGATCCGATTAACTAATCAACAAGAAAAGGAATTAGTGATTGCATGATTCTCTATTGATATTGATTTAGCCAAGAATCGTGGTAAATACAAAATCAAAACAGGAAATTGGTGGAAGATCCGGATAGATTTTTCGAAAGATTTTTGAAGAAAAGGAAGATTATAGTGGATGCGAGTCATCCTCTCTATTTTAGTCCCGTCGTATGCTCTAAAATTTTGATTTGGTCCTTCTAAACTTTAATTGTTAGCAATCATACCCTCTTGTTGTATAATTTCACTCTTTGTAAAGTACGAGTCTTATCAATTGGGTTCTTGTAAGGTTTAATTTAGCTTTTGAATTTCCCAATTGGTTCGATTATATCCGTAATTGCCTCAATTACACCTTCTTTTAAATGTAATTGTGCCACTAGATGAATATTTTTGTATTTTCTCGCCTATTTTCCTCTTTTTTTTTTGTAAAAAATAAAATAAAATAAGTAGGAGAAATTTTGGGTTATAACGAGTTGCTCTCTCTTTACAATGCTCATGGGGTAAAGTCAAATGAAAAAAATATTTTTCGATGACTTTCTTTAATAAGCTTGTAAAGAAGACTTTTTTTTTGTTCTTTTTTAATGATTAAAATTGGGAGTAAATCCTTGATAGGATGCCTTACATAAGAAAGAAGACGTATCCGTAAAATTAAATATGTAGTACATTACCTTTTTATCAAGGACAACCTAACCTAAAATTTAAACGTGTAATGCATGACCTTATTGTCAAAGACAAACTTATCATAAAAATAAAAGATGCGATACATGACCTTATTGTCAAGGGTAGCCTATCCAAAAAAATAAACGTGTAATATATGACCTTATTGTCGAGGGCAACATATCCTAAAAATAAACGTCCATGACCTTTTTATTAAGGGCAACCTACCTTGAAAATTAAATATGCAATGCACGGACTTGGTGTAAAGGGTGGCTTATTCTAAAAATTAACATGAAATGTGTGGCCTTATTGTCAAGTGCAGCATACCTTAAACATGAAAGATGCGAGTAATTGTATAGGCAAGTTTACTTGTCGTAATGATTTAAGTTAGTCGACCTTACCTAGAAGTGGTCGTTTGATTTTGGATTTCGCACTTGAGTGGTGGTCTATTAAGAGGTGACCATACTTGAGGTAGATTTACAGGAAGTATTGTTTCTCTTTTCCTTGGTATTTATTCAAGACTCATCGTGGGTGTCTCTCTTTCGTTGGGATCATGATGTACCTAAAAACAAGCTTTGCATATTAGTTAGTCAAATTACCCGTAAGGAACATAGGCCGCATCGCTCAAATCCCTTTGTTTGACTTTTCTCTTTTGATTATTAAGGCTCCGAAGTTGATCTATTATCTATGATCTAAGCACTATGGCTTTGCCCCTTGATTGTGTTTTTACCTTCTTATAAACTTAGTTGATCTAACTCATCGAAGTTTATTTGAAGTAAAGTAGTCCTCTTGGTCTATTAATGGTAATGGTCATTCTCCAGCTTTATTAGCTTTCAAATGACTACTTACACTCGAGAGTATAGCGAGTGGATTTATTACCGCTTTGGTGACCTTCTTTGTAACTTAAGGTACCATATGCTTTTCGAAATGTTCGACACTTCTACATTTCATGAATTTTCTCCTCCACAGGGAAAACTAAGATTTCATTCGGAGATTTGGATCTAAAATTCAAGCAAAAACCCATCGACTACTCGTGGACTTATCATGCAAATGTTTCAATTAAGGGTGTTCATTATTCGATTAAAACTAAAATACCAAATTGTACCAAATCGAATTAACAATTTCGATTCGGTTTTTTTAAAAAAGATTTTAAAAAATCAAAATTATTTCGATTCAATTCGAGTTATTTTTTAAACACATTCGGTTTCCACCAAAAACTCGAATTTTAAACAAAGTTACAAAAGTAACAAAATCCTAAATCTAATATCAATATATCATTTTAGCTCTTATCTTTCATAGTTCACTTGACACCAGCTTCCTACAATCTTGCTTCCAGCCTTTCACAGTTCCACTTTCGTAATTTCATTTTCGCCTATACCCTACTCGCCCCAAAACTTAAAACTCTCGTTCTCTCGGTCCTCACTTAGTCACTTCTCCTCGTTCTTCAATCTACACACACTCACTTCGAGCTTCGACGGTGCTAGACTATCGATCACTGAGAGACTCGTCCGTCCTCCTCCTTCGAGTGATAGAGTCCAGCCTTTCTCGGACCTCAATTCGGTTCCTACGACCTTCTTCTTCCTCCTTCTCCTCCACCCACGAGTCGACAATTTTGAGTACCCAATCCAATCAAAAGGTTATTTTTTTTTAGGTGGATTCTTTTTATATTTTCATCCCTCTTTCGATAGTAGAATGGGGTTTTGTGATAGACCAATTTTGTTTCATATTTAGGTAAGCATATTTAGGAATGAGAAAGTAAGTAACTAGAGCTTGAATTTGTTTCAAAAAGGTAAAAACGAGATAGCAGAATGAATGTTTATCGATTTAAATTAATGGGTTTTAGTTATTTGATTGTAATGTGTGTGAAATTTTAAAATCTCTTGTTACAATCTTGATAATTGAATGAAAGCTCGAAAATTGAAATAGTGAGTCTTATTCGAGTTCCTGAAAAGAAAAGAATTGAATCAATTGATTATGATTTGTCATTTGTAAAGCATGAAACATGGGATCGCTAGTAGGCCTATTGGCGTGCGAGCACAGAGCTAATAGGCCTATGGTCGGCTAGTGGACAATGGACACTACCCACTCGTTTTAACTTTTAAAATTTAAACTTTTTATACTATAGATTTGTATTTAATAATAATTTCTAATCAAATATATTCTTAAATTTGTGTAGATGTTGGGATCCTCGCATGCTACAAGTGGATTCTTTTCACATTTTCATCTCTCTCTCGATAGTAGAATGGGATTTTGTGGTGGATCAATTTTATTTCATATTTGGGTAAGCATTTTTTTAGAATGAGAAAGTAAGTAATTAAAGCTTGAATTTGTTTCAAAAAGGTGAAAATAGATAGCAGAATGAATGTTTTTCGATTTGAATTAATGAGTTTTTGGTATATGACTATAATGTGTGTGAAATTTTAAAATCTTTTTTTTTAAATCTTGATAATTGAATAAAAGCTAAAAATTGAAATATTGAGTCTTATTCAGTTCTAGAAAAGAAAATAACTGAATTAATTGATTATGATTTATCATTTGTGAAGCATGAAACATGGGATGGCTAATAGGCTCGCGGGTGGCCAACGGGCACAAGCTAATAGGGCTATGGCCGGCAAATGGACAAGTGGACATTACTTTAAATGTTAAAATTTAAACTTTTAATACTATAGACTTGTATTTAATAATCATTTCTAATCAAATATATTCTTGAATTTATATAGATGTTGGGATCCTCGGATGCCGAAGTTGCGAGTTCAACCTATCCGGAATCGAGCCCAGACATCGGATACAATTACTGCCGGCTCTTCATCAAACACGCAAGTGAGCACAAAGATGAAGAGAAGAGCAATGAGGCCAAGGTCAGTTGTATATGACCATTTCACAAAGTTTGAAGATGAAAATAAAGATATCAAGGGGAGATGTAATTATTATGATAAGGTACTAGTTTTTCATCCTACTAGAAATGGTACTACCGCACTTAAATCTCATATGACTATATGCAAAAAACACCAATATATGCTTGACCCTATCCAACCAGAATTGAACCTTCAATCTAATTCAAGTGTCCAAGGAGGAGAAAACACTCTTAGAACATGAAAGTTTGATTAAACTTGCATTAGAAATACTTTAGCTTACATGATTGTTATGGATGAACTTCCTTTTAAATTTATAGAGAATGTGAGGTTTAAGTGGTTTATGTCAATTGCACAACCTAGGTTTAAAATTTCATCATGAATTATCATTTTAAGAGATTGCTATTAACTTTATATGTATGAGAAATTAAAATTGAAGCAACTTTTGAAAAATAATTATTAAAGAGTTTGTCTCATTATGGACACATGGACGTCTATTTAAAGAATTAATTTTATGTGTCTAACAACTTATTTTATTGACAATCATTGAAAGTTACATAAAAAGATTCTAGATTTTTATTCGGTTGATGGTCATAAAGGTATTGATTTGGGTAGTGCTATTGAAAAGTGTTTGATTGATTGGGGAATTGAAATTTTTTTCACTATTACCGTAGACAATTTAAGTTCAAATGATGTGACGATTAGATATTTGAGAGATGTTTTAAATAATTGCGATCATAGCATCTTAGATGGGGAATTACTTCATATGAGGTGTATGACTCATATTTTGAATCTTGTTGTTTCGATGGGTTAAAAAATACAAATCCTTCAATCCTTCATATTCGAGCAATTGTGAGGTATATTAGACAATCTCCCGTTAGGTTGAGAAAATTTAAAGAATACATAGAGATTTAAAAGATTGATTCCAAAAGTTTATTACATCTAGATGTTTCAACTAGATGGAATTTAACTTATTTGATGTTAGATTCAGCTTAAAAGTTTGAGAGAGCTTTTAAGAGATATGAGCAAATTGATCATTTATATAGTATTAAACTTAATATGGATCTTTGAGATGGGGCATTTAGGCCACCTAGTGTCGGAGATTGGAGGACTTGTAGGAAGACGGTGACAATATTGAAAAATTTCGTGACCTTACTTTGTCTATTTCGGGTCATTCATATGTCATTTCTAATAATTATTTTGATGAAATTTATACGCTTGAAGCTGATTTGAGAGAATGGCAAGAGTGTGCTACTGATGATACTTGTTTAATGGCTAGTAAAATGAGAGAAAAATTTGATAAGTATTGAGGGGATATGAAGAGAATGAATAAGTTAATTTATATTAGAGCCGTGCTTGATCTAACACATAAACTTACTTATGTTGCATTTACATTAAATGAATTACATGGTGATTGCTTTGGAGAAAAGATGACGAATGATGCAAGAGAATGTACATATGCCTTGTATGCTTCATATTGTAATTTATCACCAAATCAAGGTCTTAGTGGTCAAAGTAGTGGAATTACGAAAGTTTCGGATGTAAGTGATGGAACGGATGCCAATCATGCCATGAAGAAAAAAACAAGACATTTGCAAGGATGTCATGATTTCAAAAATTTAATGAAAGTGAAGATGGATATAAAAGATCGAGTTGGATAAGTATCTTCGTGAATCTGTCGAAATTGGGGATGAAAATTTTTATATTTTGGAGTGGTGAAAAAACAATTCTCTTCGATTTCCTATCCTTTCAAAAATGACTCGTGATGTGTTGGTGGTTTCAATATCTACCATTCCTTCAAAATTGGCATTTAGCATAGGAGGAAAAGTTCTCGATGCCTTTAGGAGTTCTTTAACTCCTAGCATTATACAAGCTCTTATATGTGTTCAAGATTGGCTTCGAAATTCGATGCCAATTACTATTGAAGAAGATTTGCAAGATGTTAAGAAACTTGAAGTCGGTAAGTTTTCAATTCTTATATTTTTATTTGTCTTTTTTCCTTCTAAATTAATATTAAAGACTTAAAGTGTTGATTTCTTTTTCGGATTTATTAAAACTCTCAACGGATGCACCCATGATAGATATATGATAAATGGATGGTGGTTTGATCTTTTGAGTGACATGGGTAAATTTCTACCGAATTATCTTTATGTGTGTCCATATATGTTTCATTTTTGTAAATGCCTTTATATTTTATAGAATTGACATTTTTTTCTTTTTCTTTGCAAGATTTGTCATTTAGTGAACTTTTTGCTTGAAGCCTTGAACTTGTTTATTTGTGGTTGTGACTTATGGGAGTTTTTTGAATTATTTTACTTGGTAAGTTATTAGTGACTTAGTTTTGTATTGTTGGCTTCTTGTTATTGCTTTCTTACTATTGGTTGGTTGCTTTTACTTTGTTAAATTACTAATGTTACTTGGTAATTTGAGAATGTTGAATACTTGAATTATTGTTTTTAACTTTTTGTTTTATTGAATACTTAAAATTGAATTGTTGTTTGACATTCTTGCTTTTTCTTTGTTGAATTATAAAGAATAGTGTAGCATTGTAGTCTATTTGAAATTTGGATAGGGTCTATGTGTTCTTATGGCTTATCATTAAAAAAGGTTGATCTTTGAGTGAATGTTGAGATCATGAAATTGATGCAATTCTAATTAAATTCTAATTAAGTTATTGATCGAATCAATATATGATATTGAGTTTTAATTATAGGTGAAAACCGAATTAGTGAATAAAAAAATCGAGTATATTTCAAAACCAAATCGAAAAACCGACTAATAATTCGATTTGGTTTCATTTATTTTTTGGACAATTCAATTAATCAAAAATCGATCAAAAAAGTTCGAAATCAAATCGAATTCCCGAACGAACACCCCTAGTTTCAATATGGCTATTATAGGTTTTTTAGTGTAAATGTTGAACTTCGACGAGTGGGCAAATTACAAGTTTGATAATAGAAGATATTGTTTATCCCTAAGTATTATTCTTTAGCACTAACCATGATTTTAACTAGCTTATGTTTCGATGTTGACTATCCGTTTTAAATAAAATTCTCTAATAGGGGCTCGCGAATCCGACACTCACCGGATTGATAACTCATCTTAAGTTAAAAAGGACTTTTATTGATACGTAATTCATGCTAGGGCATGATTTCTTAAAAATATGTAAAATAGGCTTAAACGAGTGTTTTATGGCTCTTTTGACATAGGACCATTTTTTTTTAAAATCACATTTGATTAGAGGCATATTTGATGATGATTTCATCAACTTCGTCTTTGGATCGGTATTTATCGGATGATTCACTATTTTTTCTAATGAAGTAGGAATCATTGCAATAACTTTGGTCTCTCCTTTAGTTTGTATTCCTTTGGAAGACCATGATCTTGTTCCTCTTTTATTCCAAATCTTCTTTAGTAATGACTTTTTTTTTTAGTTTTAAATCTTAAGAAAACGAAGTTGTTTGGTGGCATGCCTCTCAAATCCTATTCTGAATTTATTTTTCTTTTTATTATTTTTTTTGCTTCTAGTGTGAGAGGTGATCCTAGTCCGAGTTTTATGAAGAAAATAAAACGCTCAAACTTGGTTTCCAATGGATAAATTCAACATGAGTATGATAAAATTCCAAAGAAGGCTTTTCCTCATCCTATCGATAATAGTATCTATCTAGACGAGTTCTATTTTCTTAAACTCCTTTTATTAGAATAAAATTCAGATAGAACCTACAAATCTAAATATTCACTATGACATTTTCATGGGTGGTGCCATAGGAGCAATTTGGGACATGGGCCAATGAGAAAGATTTCGACTCGATCCTATTTTAGTTTTTTTTTTTTTAGGTCTACTTATGACCTTTGCATGGCAAGTCTCGAGTGTCAACAAGATGTACTCATTCCTTTTCACTAGGCTCACCATTTTATTTGTCCGTTATTGTAGGCAAATATAACATTGAACGATTATGTTTGAAATATTACATTTTCACTAGGCTCACAAGATTTACTCTATCTTGAAATCTAGGTTGCTTTTCCTAGTCTAGAGTAATTTCGATATGTTTGAAGTGGTCAAAATTTCAAAAGGCACATAGACACCAAGTTCTTCTAGGGTTCATTGGGGCTTTTTTTTAGGAGACCGAGCCTCGTTATTTACTAAGTAAAACATTGCCATTACATCTTAATTTACTTGCATGCCTTTTATAAATAGTGTCAATAGAGATCATGAAATGATAAAAGAGGTGATGGGTTTATGGGGTTGAGGAAATAGAGAAAGAAAATGCAATGCATATGTTTGGCTTGAATTTCATTCTTTATTTCATGAAGAAGAAAATAACAAACCTCAAGCGTAGTATTTCTTGATCGCATCAAAAGGATTGACTATATTATCCTCATCCATACTAGTCAAAAGGATTGCTCCCCCTCAAAACACTTTTCTCACTACATAAGGGCCTTCATAGTTAGATGACCACTTGCTTTTATTCTTTTTAGGTATCAAAAGAATTTTCCTAAGCACCAAATCTCCCTTATAAAATTCTCTTGATCGGACCTTTTTGTTGTATACGTTGGTCATTCTTTTCGATACATTCTTGTATGACAAATGGCGACCAACCTCTTTTCACTAAACATGTTCAACTTTTCATATCCGATCCGAGCCCATTCAACTTCTTCCAAATGTGTTTCTATGAGTATCTTAAAAGAGGAGGTTTTCATTTTCAAAGGCATCACCGCTTCCATCCTAAAAACCAAAGAATATGATATTGCCCCTATGGATATTCTTACAATTATACGACATACGTGCTAGTCGTATGAGAGCTTTTCATGCTCGTCTCCGTATGTGATAACCATCTATAATCTTTTTGATATTCTTGTTTATAACTTTGACTACCCCATTCATCTTGGGTCGATAGGGTGTCGAATTTAAATGCTTAATTTTCCATCGTCCGTATAATTCTATAATCATCTTTTCGTTGAAATTCTATACATTGTCGGTGATTATTATGTCCGACAAACCATAC